CACCAATAAGAAGACCTTTATTAGTCTGGCCAGATGGCACTCCTGGAGCCAAGTAGCTCAGAGAAGCACTAGCTCAGGGGCTGAGGTCCTTTTTATAGGGTTTTTCTAAGCAAAAAGTTCAAACATAGGTTAGGGCATTCACAGAACTACCAGGGGATAAGATTCCAAACACACCGCTAATCTTATGCAGGAAATGTTTTATGGTCACCTTTTGTCATACCATTTGTCCCTGGGTGGGCTGTTAACCAAGTTAGCAATTAGCATAGGAAGGTTTGTGTGTAGTTTGAGCAGCTCTTTCTTGATGTTTGATAAGGAGAGGGGGAAGCAGCCTATTAGCAGGCCAGTGTGGAGCCACTTTAGCTCCGTCAGGTCCCACACCCTCAATTTAGCCAGAGCAGTGCTGCCCGTGTATCGTGTGCAATGCAATTCCCATTCACCATAAGACTGAACAGCTTGAAATGCAGTGAAAACACATCCCTGAGACCTGGGGGGAAAGTCCTTGCCCCAAGGAAACAGCAGCTGTAGACCAAAACTCAGACTCCTGATGCTATCCAGGGCTCTCTCCCCCTTCGTCATTTACTTCATTGATAGAGAAGGCATAAGGAATGTGTATCTACACAGTGGAATTTTCTTGATATTTCTGATTCTATTGGAAGGACTCCTATTTCTCCACGCTCAAGAACAAAAGCAGAACCACTCAAGCAAAGAGAAGTGGATCTGGCAGACGTTTGCAGACACGTTTACATACAAAGATGGGTAAAGCTCTATATTTGTGAGAGAGGAAGAGACACACTAACGTCTTTGCTGGAAGTCTAAAAACTCATCACATATGCTAGCAATGGTGGGGGAGGGGGTCCAGTTACGGTTTAAATTCTTCCAGTAAAACACCTTTGCCATAGGCTTTGGAATTTGGTTTCCCTAGCAGTACTAGAGATTGAACCCAAGGTCTTAGCACTGAACTACATCCGTGGCCCTTTTTTTATATTTTACTTATTTTGACACAGGCTTTCATTAAGTTGACTTGCCTGGGCTTGAACTTCAGATCCTCCTGCCTCAGCCTCCAGAGTGCTAGGATTACAGGAATAGACCACCATGCCCAGGTTCCACTCACTGTTTTCCTGATTCTATAACCGCAGCTGTGCCAGCTGCTGTTCATGTCCTTCTTCAGCAGGAGCGTGGCCTGTGTATGTCAGCAGAGTGATTCTAGAGAAGGTGGAATTTTCCTTGGAAAAATCGATCTAAATTCTTCTTCTATAGCTCTTCTAATTGTTCTATATGTACCTTATTGCCTGTATTAAAACCATTTTTATTTAAACCTGCTAGGTGGACTCTGTTGTCTGCAACTTAACCTTTATTGAACTTTGGTATCTTGACTAATCTAGTAAGAAAAATTTTACTCATTTTAGTTTTAATTTGATTGTCTCTAATACATGAGTGAAGTTAAAATTTGTTTTCTAATGTAAGAGCCAATGTAAGAAATTTCTGGGAATAATTGGTCCTTCCTCAGGAGATTACTTCTCATGATTTTAGTTATAGTTTGTCTCTTATTATTCATTCCAGTAGCTTTACTTTCCATGCTTTCTTACTACTATTTGTTGTTTAAGTGCCTCTTTCATGAGGCATCACAAGGGAATGGACTTGGCCCCATTGGTCTATTTGCATGTTTTTGAAACAGTAACAAGCTGGGGTGTGTTTTTTTTAATCATAGTAATGTTGCAATAATTCTTTCTATACAGTAGAGCAAATCCTCCTGCCTGATCTTCTTCCCCAAATCATTTTAATCATTTATAAATATTTGTTCTTCTTTGTAAACTAAAAGTAATGCTACGGAAGCCCTAAGAAAATCAAGCCAGAGCTTGTATTAGACTTGTCTTAAATTGACAGGTTAGTAGAGAGAATATCAGCCTCTCTGTGATGTAAACTTGCTTAATCATGGCTATTTCCTTGGATTTTTATGTCTCTTAATTAAGTTTTATGATTTATTTTGCATAACCTCTGTCAATTCTTCAGTCGTTTATAATCTTTATAATCGTTGATATCTTCTTTTCTATTGCATTTGTGGATAGCTATTGATGTTGTAGGTAAATACTATTGAATTTTGTAAATTGACCTTGTATCTAGCAACCACAATGACCGTTCCTATTAGAGTTAATTGTTTTCTGTTGATTCTGTTGTGTGCTCTATGAGAAAAACGAAGAAGAAATAGGTCAAAAGAGTTCTATCTAACACTTACAACTCTTGCTCCTTTTTGTCTGATAGTATTTTCCAGGACCATTAAAACCACATGAAATCTGGCAGCAAAGGAGGTCATCTTTAATTGATTCTTAACTCTAAATCCATGTAAAATTTTCCCACTGAGTATGACATTTGATTTAGGTTTTTACTTTTAAAATTCCATCAAGAGGAGGAAGTCCCTTTCTAGTCCTACTTGGTTAAAGCATTTCCTCTGGTTAAATGGTTGTTGAACCATCAAAATGGCTGCATTGAAAAGGAGACAAAAACATCAAGAGTTGACAAGAATGTAGCTCAACTGCTGTGGAGAGTGAACTGGCAAAGACACTGGCAGATGTCCCTGCTAACCCTAGCCGCTGTAACAGAATACCACAGACTAGGTGGCTTCAATAACCAGCATTTACTTCCCACTGCTCTGAAAGTTGAGAAGTACAGGATCGAGCAAGGCTCCAGAAGACTTACCTACTTCCTGGTTCATGGTTGGAGGTCTTTTTGCAGTGTCCTCACATGGCAGAAAGAGGAAGCAAGCTCTCCTGAGACTCATAAAGGGCACTAATCCCATTCCTAAGGGGCTGATGCTCATGACCCTATCTAACCCTAATTACTTCCCAGAGACTCCATCCTAATTCCATCACATAGGCTCAGCGTAGGAATTTGAGGGGTGGGGCAGAAGCACCCCTACCACACCAGTTCTCCGTAAGGAGCCTCCCAATCCCTCTTCTGTTCTCCATCCCCCAGCTTCACGGTGCTTTTGCCCACAGTTGCCCACACCCCGCAAGTCTTCTTCAGAGAATGAGCTTCTGGTTGCTTACGCACTTCAGCCATGTAGGTGGAGAGCTAGAACTATCCAGTGGTTGTGTCCTCCTTGGGCAGCCCTTAGCCGCTAACTGATAGATGCAGAGACAAAAAAGCCCAGCAACCCTGCCTCCAGCTGGGACAATTATAAAGCATAATTTATGTTCCCAAGTGCCTTCTGGGATCAGCAACCCAAGGCCCACCCTGACTCAGACTTTTCCTTGAATCACACCCTTCTTGAGTTCTTCCCCACCTGCCCTACTTCCCCTACTACCTTACCCACTTCCGGCACATCCTTAATAAATCACGTGTACACAAGTTCTTGTTTCGGGTCAGCTTCGGACCTCACAGTCAGTTCCAGAAACTCTGGGTCAGCATCCGTGAAAGCTGGACACAGGCATCTGCAGTGATCATCTCTGACCACAGACATATACAAAAAGACTCATAAACTTTTCTCTTAATAGTGCCACACCAAAAGCAACGGAGACCTTCATCCAGTTATCTGAATGGGTAAATAAAATGCGTGTATTCACACAGTGGAATACAGCCCAGTAACAAGGGGAAACTGACCACACTCAGCAGGATGACAGGCGAGTCGGAGCACAGACACACCGCCCCCCTCTGTCTCTAGAAAATGTAACCACGCTAAGCTCCTAATCCAGTTTTACTTCTGCAGAGGGCTACTTGGCTGTTCCAGTGCCAGGTATTGTTAGGGAGTTGATTATGTTAAAGTGTTTCGTGATGCCGCCAGCACAGACTGCATTCTCCTGGTGCTTCTTGGCTCTTAAAGACCTCATGCTCTTATCTTTAGTTTCCCTTCCCCCCCCAAGGCCACAGCGGTCTGGAGAGGTTAAACCTGTTTCTTCAGGACCAAACCCATAAAGGGCAACCTGGCCTGTGATAGGTTAAAGGTAGCCCGCTCCTCCTAAATAAGCAATAGCCCAGCCCAAAACTGATAAAAGGACCTTCCTTTCTTTGCTCTCCTCTCCTTCTGCTGCTTCCTCCTCCTCCTCCTCCTCCTCCCTCCCTCTCTCTCTCTCTCTCTCTCTCTGTTCTCTCTCTGCTCTTTCTCTCTGCTCTCTCTGCTCTCTCCCTCTCCTCCCACCCCTTGGATAAAATCTCCAGTCAGACCTCTCGGTGTGTGGCCTCTTGTTGAGCGTCACTATTCCCCTTCAGGTATTACATTACGCACCTTTGCCCTGGGATCTGAACGAAGTTGGGGAGCCTCTGCCCTGCTCGGGCCAGGGTTGGTGACTGGAATGGAGCACAGGGTCACATCTGGGGTTGGGATGATGGTCGCTGGGACACTTCCAATTAAATTTGTAAAATTTAATTGAGCTGTACACTTACAGTGTGATTAAGCACCTTACTCATCGATATATTTTTAACGCTGTAGAATAGTGAAATGTTGAGTTCTAGCAGTTTTTCTGCGTATGTTACATAATTTTGTCCAGAAATTTTTTTTTTCTGGAGGTAAGACCATCCTCACACTTGAGATAAAACTTCCTTGAGCACCCTGAATGAATTTGCTAATATTTGTTAGATTTGGCTGTGATTTTTTATGTCTATCCTAAAAAGAGAAATGAGCCTATGATCTTCTTGTTCTGTTTTTATAAGGTTTTGGAACTGGGGTTAAATTATAAGCTGGAGAACTTGATATCTCTTTTAATTTTCTGAAATAACTGGAATTAAGTAAGAAACATCACCACACTGACAGGCTAGCAGAACTCACGAATGATCTGGATATGGGGGTTTTGGGGGGGGAGTGGGGGATTTGACTATTCCTTTTATTTATTTAGTGTCTGCTGGCATTTGAGATGTTTAAATCTCTTCTCTCAATTATAACACTTGACAAGTTTTTAAAATGTGTCCATTTGTGTACATTCAAGTTTATTAGCGTGCTTCTTCTTGTATTCTCATGGTTTTCTTTTTCTCCTGTTTAAAACTCTTATCCCTTTGGAATTTACTTTCAGGGAAAATGAAATCGTGGCTCTAGCTTTTTTCCTGGTGGCTTCCAGTCACCTGTCACTCACTGAATAATGCATCCCCCTGGGAGGCTGGCTGGTGTGCAGGAGGAGCTGTGAGTGGCAGCGCAGCCTTTCCCTGGTAACATCAGTGGACTGCGAAGCGGAAATAGCGCAAGTGAGCCTCTCGCCCTCTCCTCCACTGAGGATAGAACAAAGAAGAAACCAATATCCGGATAAGTATGCCCAGACGGACCTCCTGCTGGCCTGTCTCCTGATAGAGGGCACCCACTGGGGAACCAGTCCCTTAGACTCAATCACACAGCAGGGGGCCCGCAGAGGAATCCACTGTGGTTCTTAGGATAGAGGCTGTTAGAACAGAGCTGGGTACCCCTCTTTTGTTCCTCTGTGTTTTATTCTGCCATGTCATAATAAATAAGCAGACGATTTCTCCAAAGTCAGAAAGTATCGGTGGCGTATTTTTCAGGGGCTTGGGCTTGCTGTTATGCTGAGGAAAATCCTCAAGGTTTCACGAGAGGCTGCACTCAGTTTAGGCAATAGCAGAGAAATAACAAATTCCATGGCAACAGAGAAGCGGGGGGCTGTCAGGAACCTCGGTTAGGCCTTCCTCAGGGTGGGCAGCGGGTAACATTCACTGAAGTCCACATGACATACATCCAAAACACTAACGCCTGGATTGCTTCAAGAGTACTCTAGGTGAGGAGCAGAGGAACAGAAGGGAAGAGATCTTCCCTCCAAAGGACTGCCCCCTCCCCACCTCCCAGACACGTAGCCGGAGGAAGCACTTAGGTAGGAAATGTACTCCCTCTAGTACTCAGCGGAAGGAAAGAGAAAATAAGCCTTTAAGAAGGCAGTGAAGACTTTCCTGTCTGAATGGGACCATTTAAGCATCATACCTTCTCCTGGACCAGAAACAGGTCCAAGAAAAGAAAAGAAAATAGAGGGAAAAATTTGAAACAAAGCTTTAGTACATAGGGAGGGGAGGGGGCTTCAAGGGAGGGGGGCATGGGAAAACGGGGTGGGAGGCATTGCATGCAGGTGCAAACTCCCTATGATGAGTGCTATCATTATGTATTCTAAAATGTACCAATAAGTGTTTTACTATACAAAAAACTCTCATGCGCCTCTTCCTAGGCCAGTCATAGCGGGGAGCTGGAACGCTCATGGTTGTTACAGCCCTTCCTGAAGCATCTCCTGCACCAAGATGGCAAGCCCTGGGAAGACAGACCGATGGAGGACATGATCAGCAGGCAACTGAGGGCCTTCATGACGGACACTCAAACTGTTCTTAATTGCCATAAAATGTACATAGCAAAATTTACATTTAATCATTAAGTATACAACCTGGTGACATTTATTACATAGAAGGAATGCAAACATTGCATTTTCCAGTTTTCCATCTCCCCAAACAGAAATTCTGTAACTACTAAAGAATAATTCCCCCACTCTCCTCTCTCACTCTGCCTTCCAGTAAACACTTACCTATTTTCAGTTTCCATGAATTGGCTAGATGCAAGTGCAATCATAACATTTTGTTCTTTGCCTGGGGTGTATTTCACTTAGCACCTTTTCACGTTTCATCTATGTTATGGCATGAAGCAAAAGTTAATTTCCCCTTAGGACTGTCTAGTATTCCACGACATCTTTCCCACTCATCTGCTGACAGACTTACCTGCCGTTTGCACCTCTGGTTACCAGAGTGTCGCAGTGATCCTATGTGTATCTGCGTGAATGTCTCTTTCCAGTTCTTTCTGGGTGGATATTTAGGAATGAAGTTGCTGAGTTACAGGGTGATGGCGTGGTATCATCATTTCACATTATCGGAGCCACGAGGCGTCCCATTTCTCTACCTACTCACCAGCACTTGTTAGTTTCTTCTTTTTTTAATCATGGTCATACTAGAGAATGCAAAGTGGTATTTCTTTGAGGTTTTTATTTGTAGTTCCCTAATAACTAGCAATGCTGAGCATCTTTTCATTTTCTTCTTGGCCGTCTGCATACCTTCTTTGGAGAAATGCCTATCCAAGTACTCCCTCGCCCGATACCCAGCCCTCCCTTCACCCGCTCCACTCCTTCCTATTTACAGAAATTATTTCTGCCTTTTCCTTTTCTCATATTTATTCCTTTCCCTTCTTTCCTTTCCCCTATCCTTCCCACTTACCCTTACTCTTTGCACCTTTTCTTCCTATTTCACATTATCTGTTATACATTTTGATCCTTATTTATACCATCAGTTTCTCACACCAAAGAAACTATTTGGTATTTACACATATGTGTCCTATCTACTTCACTTAAGAGTGTGGTCTCAGTGTGCATCCATTTAGCTATAAATTCTTCTCTAGCTTCTCATTCTTTATGGCTGAGCAGTACTCCATTTTATATATTTAAAAAAAGCAGTTATTCAGTCTCCAGTTGATTGGCAATTGGGCTGTTACCAAGCTTTAGCTATTACAGACTGGCTCACTATAAACATGGGTGCACATATATCACTATGGTATGTTTCTCTTAACTTTTTGGAAAGATACCCAGCAGGGGAATAGCTGAGTCAAATAGAACTTCTAATCCTAGTTTTTTGAGGTTTCTCCATACTGATTTCCACAGTGGTTGCACCAGTCTGCACTCCCACCAGCAATGGAGAAGGGTTCCTTTTTCTCCACAACCCTGCCGGGATTTGTTATTGGTTGAATTCTTGATAGAAGCCACTCTTTCTGGGGTGAGGTAGAATCTCAGCATTGTTTGATATTCATGAAGTTCCTTGGGTGTTCTTTGTCATGAAAGTATCTTACTTCTCCATTAATTTTATTTTGAAAGATAGTTTTAAAGAGTACATCAGTCTGTGTTGGAGGTTGTTTTCTTTTAGGGCTTGAGTTCTTCTTGACTTGAGGATTTGTGTTAAGAAGTCTGCTGAGATTCTGATGGGCTTTCCTTTGTGTGTGATTTGTTTCTTTTCTCTAACTGCTTGTAGTATTTTGTTCTTCTGTTGGGTTTCTGGAATCTTGACTACTATATGCCTGGGTGTAGATTTTGTCTGATCACAGCTGGTTGGAGTCCTATAAGCCTTACTTATCTGTATGTCAAATTCTCCCCCACTCCCCACCCCCTGGCTTGGGAAGTTTTCTGCCATTATTTCTGTGAACAGAAGTTTTTTTTTAATGTCATTTGCACTCTCTACTGTTTTCTCATTGACTCTAATCAGTCTTATGTTATTCTTCTCTGCATCACCTAGCAGTTGCTGGAATGATTTCTTGTGGTTCCTTGCTATTTTTAAGAAATCGTGCTTTTCCTGGCCACTAACCACAATCCTGTCTCCTATATATCTGATATTCTGCCCTCATGTTGGCTCATTCTGCTGCATAAACTTTCAGTGGATTTTTTCATCTTCTAGACATCTGTTTGCACTGTTTTATGGATTCCATTTGTTTCTTACGCTGGGATTCCACCGTGTTCCTCGACCCCTCTATTTTTTTTATATCTGTGTCTGCTCTAGAGGTGTTAATCATGCCCTTCCACTATGGACACAATCTCTGCTGTTATCTGAGAAATTAGTTCTGATTTCATTTTTTCCAGACTCTCTTCTGTTGCCAGTTCAGGGAGTCCATGTTGAGTTTCAGATTATTTCATCTTGTTGCCCCTTGGAGTTGCCTTTAGCGATCTAGAAGTCTGGTTTGAGTCTTGTTTACCTGTCTTCTCATCTCGACCAATGCAGTCGGATGTGCCTTTATTAAGGCGACTATCTGCTCTCCCAGTGGGCTTCAATTTTCAACAAGCCTTGGAGAAGCCTTCTCTCTGCTGCTCTTGGCTGTGCCAGTTCCTGGTTCAGCATGATGGCCTTCTGGATCCCTGAACCGGGCTGTTGTCTGGGAGGACTTCTGGCTGGAGCCTGCACTCACTCACTGATGGTACTGGATGGGCCTCTGGCCGGGGCCTGTGCACCTGCACTGCTGTTTTCCAGTCAGGCCTTTGACTGGGGCCTGCACACCCAAGCCACTTTTGTCTGGGGAGGCTTCTGGCTGGGGTCTCCACCCACTTACTGCTGGTTATCTTGGTTGGCTTCTGGCTGGGGGCTGCTGCACTCAAGGATCTGCAAGTTCCTTACCTACTTTTCCATATTGTTTTTCCAAATAAGCAGGGTTGTTAGTCTTGCTGAATTGCAGAAATTCTTTATAAGTTCTGAAGTGTAAACTCTGACAGAGAATCTTCCCTTTGAGTAAAACTTTATTCTGGCCCCTAAGTCTTGTCTAATTGAGCCTGAACTTTGTCTTCCCTCTCCACCCTTGGGGAATATAATTTGAGAAAGAATATTACTATGTTAGTATAGCCACAAGCTAATGACCCAAAGGTGTTTTCTTTTAGTGCTTTTCCATCCACTTACCCTCACTCTCCTGCTTGGATGTTAGTCCTCACTTGCTCTTTTGGAGTCAATCTCTGTTCACTACTGCAAGACTGACAGAGTGGACCCTTCAGCTACTGCTGTGGCACCTTTGAAGTAAGACTCTCTTACTGTCTTAGTTACTTTCTCATCACTGACACACAATCACAGCACCCACAACGTAAAAGAAGAAAGGTTTGTTTTGGCTCACAGTCTGTAGAGGTTTCAGTCCATAGTTGGCTGGCTTCAAGGTAGGGAGGGCAGCAGGGCACAGGTGCATGGCAGAGGAGAGACAGCTCATGGCCTGGAGTCAGAAAGTAGAGTGTGATCAAGGGAGAAGGAAAGAAGTTAGGCCCTGCCAGGCCAAACCCCCAGTGACTGCCTCTTCCAACCAGGATTCACCTTCCAACATCACACTGACCTAAAAACTCATCAGTGGACTGATGAGTACCACACACCCAAGATCCAGTCACCTTCCAAAAGCCACTCCTCCTGTGATCACATGAAGCTCTGGCAGGACTTCTAGATATAAACCATAACACTTACCACCTTTAACAAGTGCCATGAGTATATTTTTTCTTTGACAACCTTTATCAGATATATGATCTGTGAATATTTTCTTACTCTCTAATTTGTCCTTTTACTTTCTTGATAATGTCCTTTGATGCACAAAGCTTTTTAATAAGGATTCTATTGAATCTACAGATTGCTTCCAACAATTCTGGATTGTTCATTGATGTTGTGCAGAAATACAACTGAGCTTTTGTATGTGTGTGTGTGTTGATACTGTACCTGAAACTTCAATGATTTTTAGTTCTATTAGCCTTCTTGGGAATTATTTGGAGATACATACATACTTGTGTCACCTGCAAAGAGAAACAGTTTTAATTCTTAGTTTTCAGTTGGGATGTATTTTATTTTTCTTATATAATTTCCTAGCTAAAACTTCCAGTGCAATGTTGGCTGACAGCAGTAGTGAGAGTGATCATTTGGTTGTAGGTGGCCCCCAAATTTCATGTGTTGGAAATTTCATTACCAAAATCAGATGATCATGGCACATGTTTGAGGCCTTTGGAAGATAATTAGAATTAAAAGAGATCACGAAGGTGAGACCCCACAAATGCGTTAGTGGCTTTATAAGGAGGAGAGGAGATATCCCCCTTGCAAGCTTGCTCTGTCTCACAGTGTGATGAAGACCTGTGCAGCTGTGGAACTCTGTATCTCCACTAGCACAGACCTCATTAGAGACAACTGCCAGGTCCTGAACTTCTCAGTCATCAGAACTACAAGCCAAACAAATATTTACACATTCAGCATTTTGCC